CTCCACCCCTCCTTTGCTGGGGCAGTGCTGCCCCTTCGTCCAGAATGGTTGATTATTCTAAAGTGTGTGCACCTCACTACTGTTATTGCTCATTGTGATAGGTAGGTTTGTTTTGCCAACCTGGCCAATGAACACGTGTGGGATTAATTGAAGGGCGGAGAGAGAAATGGCTTGGGGAGCCTCACCTGTCTTGTCTCTTGCTCTTTGATGATCAGACCAGTGTGTGGCTGCCTTAGCTTGTTTTCTGCCCCAATTTGCAAGCTACACTACCTGTGGGACACCTGACCCATGGACTGTGTCGCTGTAGTTTGAGGTTCCTTCAAGACCTGCTTCGCCACGCTACTGGAGTATGCATTGCTTGAGCTGGGGACTGTTGGACCCTGTCATCTGGCTGACTGTTGGTGGCCTGACTTGCTGTTTGCTGCCTGTGGCTGGATAGCCTGAATTGCTCTACAGAGGACTCATCTGTCTGCTTCCTTGACTTGCACCTGGCAGCCCTCAAGACTTTAAGGACTGCCAGTGTATTAGCTGTCTCACAGAAGTGAGTTGCACTGACCCATTTGTACTGCTCTATAGGTTAATTAGTTCCTTATTTATTATGTTTTTTATATATATATGTATATATATATATATAAACATATATAAAATCATAAGTGCCCCGGTTTTGTTTCTCTAGAGAACCCTGTCTAACATACTCCCTTATAGACGTGCCTCTTGTTTGGCTAAAAATCGAGCCAATAGGGGTGAATTCAGTTCCCGACCTGAAGGTCACTGAAGGCCATCATCTCAGGGGTTCTCCCGAGTCTCAGCTCAGCCGTAAGCCTGGTGGTCTCTTTTATGATTTTGAATTTTGCTCCACATTTTTCTCCCCTCTACCCAGGACCTTCTAACATCCCTGTCCGAGCGGTTGGTAACGGCAGCTGGACTTCATCTAGTTCTTAAGCAGGTTTTGTAGTGCAGTGATTCTGTGCTGCTTGTCTAGACAGGTTACAAAAGCAGCCGGTCCCCTCATGGGTCTCAAAAGGCCTCGTTCTCGCTGCTTAGCCGGCATCATTTAGCTTGGACACACTGGGCCTTGGCCCTCTGCTCTCATTTGCTGGCATACTTCAGTCATTTCGGCCACTGTGCCGTGCATCCATTCCAATGGGACAGAAAAAGAAGAAGAAAAGAAATCTGAGTCGGCCTTTTTCTTTTTCTTCTCACCATGTGGGTGGGGCGTGAGGGAGAAAAGTACTTGTGACCTTTCACTTATGTGGTGCAGTAATTTTTACAAGACAAATACAATGAAGCCATTCAGAGATGACAATTCCATCAATATTCCTAGGAGAACAGATAATCATGAGGGCAACCAATAAAAATGAACAGGTGATTCCCACAGGGTCTGCCAAATACACACACAGAGACATGCCTTGGCATGTGTCTGCACACGGGAAGATGCCGTTGGCACTCCTGTGCGTATTTTCCATGTAACACCTGACAGAGTCTGTGTTCTGAGCTCATTTTATACCACACACACACTTTAGAAAAAAGGGATTATCTCTTTTTGGGACTTTTTTTCTTTCTAAATTATGAAGCTATACATCTGAAAGGTCAGATTCTGGAATTTATGACCATTATAAATCGAACCAGAACAGCACAGCTCAATGTTATTTATAAAAGTGTGGTGAGTAATAAACGGGTAACAGGGAGGATAAAACATTAATTCATCGGCTCTCGGCTCTGATTTATGCCTTTGCTTCTCACACCACCCCTACGTGCTCATGACACAGCCCGGCCATGTCTGGGTAGACTGGATTCTGACTTATGGCAACCCCTGTGTAACACGCGATAAATATTTGTTGTACTACTTACAGTGTAAACCCAGAGCTGATATTCAGCAGATATACACTGGGTGAGCTGGGCTGATTGTTAAAGTAGTTCAACATGTATGCCCATTGAATGTCCCCTACTCTATGTTCCTGGTTCCGCTTCTAGGGCACAATGATCTCCTCATGATTCTGATAGCTAAAGGTCACCAGCTGGACCCCGGGTGGCCTTGGGACAGTTTTCAGCAGTATGTATGACATCTGTGCTAACTGGTCAGTACCTGCTCTCTGTTGCTATGAGAGATGTTGATGGTTCACTCCTGTAGAAGAGGGAAAATTCCACTCTGAGTCTAGGCCCCTTGTGTTACTCCTTACCGGAACTATAATTCCTCAATCTCTCCCTGTTTCTGAGAGATTTTTAACATCTTCTTGAACTGACCCATGTGGTCTAGTCCTACGGCAATCACCAGAAGAAGATTTCTGGTTTGTGTTTGCTGTTCTTAAGTTGGAAGGGGATTGTTATGAATTGAGTTGTATCCCCCAGACCTATGTGTCGAATTGCAAGCCTTTATCCATATGCAGGAACCCTGGCAGCGCAGTGGGTAAGCCCTGGCTACTAACCAACAGTTTGCCAGTTCAAACCCATGCATTTGTCTTCCGTAAAAATGAAACCATAGGAGACAGTTCTCTCTCCTGCCCTATAGGATCATTATAAATCAGAATCAACTCGGTGGCAAGGGGTTTGGTACCTGTGCATGTAATCCTCTTTGAAAATTGGAGGGTGGATCCTAAATCTAATCACTTCCAAGTTATAACAAGAATAGACACAGCGACACTCAGGGGCTGGCAGATGCCATGTGAGGACTGTCAAAAAGCTAAGAGATATGACCCTAGTGCTGCTTCTCACTCTGGACTGGACCAGAGCATTACACAGGTATAGATAAGAGATAAAGCTCAGGACACATGGAATCTAGGAGCAGGAATGGGAGTAGTGATACCAGAAGGATAGGGGAAAGTGGGGCAGAAGAGGGGATGAAGGGGTAACCAATCATAATGGTCAGCACAACCACACACACCCCTCCAGGGGGAAGAACAGAAACCATGGGGGGAGATAGCTGTCAGTGGGAGATATGAAAATAATAATAATATAAAATCTATCAAGGGGCCATGAGGGTGGAGGGGCGGTGAAGAGGAGCTGGTACCAAGGGCTCAATAGAAAGTAAATGTCTGGAAAAGAACGATGGCAACATATGTACAAATATGCCTGATACAATTGATACCTGGATTGTAATAAGAGTTGTAAAAGCCTGCAATAAAATGATATTTTAATTAAAAGAAAAAAGCTAAGCAACACCAAGGAACCAAGGAATACTCAGAGCGCTGGTCAAGGAAAGAGTCAACAGAACAGAGACCCAAACTTGGACTGGTCATCTCCAGAGCTGTAAGAACTTCAATGTTTTGAGAACGATGAGGGCACCACAGATACAAATGTGCTTGACATATAATGGATGTATGTATGGATTGTGATGAGTTGTATGAGTCCCCAATAAAATGACTTTTTAAAATGTGCCTCTTCTCCTTTATCACCTCCACCTTTCCTGATAACACTGCATCACAAAAATGTATGTCCCCAAAGTGCGCATATGTCTTCTTAAGGGATAATAACACCAGGATCCTGTCAGCTCAGAGGCGGTTCCACCACTGAGTGGGGAAAGCCAGGAGCCTCTCCCCTGGGTAGAAGGAGAGAAAGGAGAGCAAAAACACTTACCCTTGAGTAGTTTTCGCCATTGTAGTTTATTTGCCTATGGTCGTTTGCAACCCGACTTGTAGAGACTTTGATCAATCCCTCCAACCTATAATCCACTGACTCATGTGTCCATCCGATGCTTGGTGACATTGATGAGATGTATAGAAATGAGGGCTAACACCTGAGCATGAACAAGTAGGGAGTTACTAATTCCCAGGCAGCTGTGCCAGTCAAGTGGCCAACTTGGAGGCATAATGTGGAGTGAACAGAATCGGTGGAGATGTCGAGAGAGTTGTCAAGGTCTAGGTCAGAGGATCCAATTTGTCATCAACAAGATCCAGGGCTAGAGTTGAGACTGGATCTGTCTGATGGCAGCTTGCGATGGGGTAAGGAGTAGGGCGGGAAGGGAGACAAGGAGCCAAGCCCTGAGGCTGAGGTGGTCCAGGACTTCTGTGTGAGCATGGGAGACGAATCAAAGTCCTCCCACGGGGAGTGGGCTCCAGGTTGAAGAGATGGCCGAGAGAGTGAGCCTGTGTTCACAGGCTCAGAGACAGTCGTTTTGTGTGAGGCTTAGAACTATGGCCCTTTTCCAGCTCTCGGGGTCCTGTCAAGCCAGCATCCTGTGGCTCAGTGGCTCTCTGGCTCAGAGAGCATCGTTCTAGGCCAGCCTCTACCCATTGCCATCAGTGGTCTGATGCTGAGGGTCAGAGCAGTGAGAGATGAGCTGGGATGTGCGAGGAGAGGACGAGAGCTATTGCATCCGGAAGCCCCCAGCCCCCTATCTTTCCCAGCTGCAGAACCTGCAGAAGTCCCCACATGAGAAAAGCACAATAGACTTGCCTTAGAAGCAGGAATCTTTCCCTGTCAAGCTGTAACCGCTGCCAGTCTCTGCTAAACATCAACAACAAAACAGGGCCACGGCTGGGGGGAGAGGGGGCAGGGGACAGGGGGGAAGGAAAGGCCAGGTCTTTACTGATGAGATAAGAGGATGTCTTTCTTTTTATAGCCAACTAGCAATTAGAACCACATGGCGGTTTCTGGCAATAAAAGTCAACATCTGTCATTTTCTTGTTTCTAGTTATGCTCTCAGATTAAAACCAGATTTTCTTTTCAGTTGGCATTGCTTTTTACAACCATAACTTGGGAGACACAAAACTTTAGCCGGCATTGCTTGGGGGCAGGTAAAGTGGGTGGGTTGAGGGCTGGAGTTAAAAAGATTTGCTTCTGACAGTAGATGGCATTTTGTAGCATTTAAATTTTGTGTCATGTATATATTCCCTATGAAGACATAAATTTCTGCCAGTACATTGATTCATTTTTTAAAGCTACAGCGAATTCATATATATTTTTTAATTCTAGTGAAAAGTATACTTAGCTGTCATTCTCCTTGTCTCAAACTCTACCTGTAATTTTGTTCTCCTAAGAGAGATGATTCTGTGTTTCTCTAGGATGAGCTGAAGTCACTTCGGAAGCAAGGGTCCACACTGCTGTCATGCATCCAAGAGCCAGCCACCAGCACTCCCACCAGCCACCGCAATGCCAATGACGTTGAGAACGTCGCTACGATGGGAAGGTGAGTGAGCAAGACAGGTGGTGCCTGCTTTTCTAGGAGATAACCTGTGGAGTGAGCTTACCTGAAACAATCAGGAAGTGAGTGGAAGAATTCCTGTTGAGTTTTGTGGGACCAAGAGTGGGTATTTGAGACAGCAAAGCATCTGTCTAGCATCTATTTAGAGCCCTTTTTATGACAAATCTCTTCCTCCCGCTGATGAAATGCTCTGGTCCCAAGATTTTCAGGCAAATGGTAGTGTGTTTCCTGTACAGATGTGCAGTTTTCTGTGAGTTGGACTTTACACATCTGTAGTCTTAAAAACCAACAAAAAGCATAAACTCACTGCCCTCGAGTCAATTCTGGCTCGTAGCGACCCTATAGGGCAGGGGGGAACTGCCCATGTTGGTTTCTGAGACTAACTCCATGGGAGCAGAAAGGCTGGTCTTTCTCTTGTCGAGAGACTAGTGGTTTTGAACTGTGGACCTGGAGGTCAACACGTAACCACTCTGCTACTAGGGCTCCTGTAGTCTTCCAGACTCACAGCGATCAAGTCAGTTCTGATACCTAGCAGCCTTATAGGGCAGGGTAGAGCTGCCCATGTGGGTTTCCGAGAGTGTAGCTGCTTATGGGAATAGAAAGCCTTGTCTTTTCCCTGCAGAGCAACTGGTGGTTTGGAACAACCCAAGGAGTAACCACTAGGCCGCCTGGGCTCCTCCTGGTAGTCTTAGGTAGGGGAAATTGACACAACAGTAAGTCCCCTGGGTTGGGAGGGTGGGGGGAGGGAAGCAAATGAGGAGCTGATACCAAGGGCGCAAGTAGCAAGAACGGTTTTGAAAAGGATGATGGCAACAGATATTCAGATGTGCTTGACACACTGGATGGATGGATTGTTAAAAGAGCCCCCATTCTAAGGATTAAAATAATAATAATAAATAAGTTGCCTGGGGCAGAGCAGCAGTCTCTGCCAAGCACCAGAGATGTCCGGATTAGAAAATGGAAAGTGTGGAATCTTCCTGAACCCTAAGAACGTCACAGGGGATAAGACTGTCTTAAGGAGGAAATATGCCCCATGTTAATGATGCTGACTGGAAGCAGCTGCTGTCTACACAGGCCCACACGGGCTTCTTCACTTTCTCACACTTTCTTGACAGGTTATTAGTTCAGTTGGATGAAACTGAAAAAGCCTTTAATCGCTTTTGGGCTGAACATCACCTGAAGCTTAACCAGTGCCTGCAGCTGCAGCGCTTTGAGCACCGTTTTTGTGAGGTACCGTTTTCTGGTCCAACAGATGCCCTCTTCTGATGCAGTGACTCCTAGTTCTTCTTTTTCCCTTGAACTCTGTAGTATGAACCGTCTCTCTTCCCCTAAACCCCACCCCCCAACCACTGCCGTTGGTCCAATGACCACTCTTAGCCACCCTGTGTGACAGAGGAGAGCTACTCCATGCAAGTTGAGATTGTAAGTCTTCATGGAAGTGGACAGCCTCATCTTTCTCCAGTGGAGGGGCTGGTAGGCTTGAACCACAGATCTCACTGTCAGCAGCCCGATGCTGGCTGTGCCACCAGGGTGCCTTCCCTCTAACCCACCTCCTGCTTCAGACCCTGGCTTCTTCACAGCCCTGGCTCACATTTTCAAGAGGTAGCAATGTTCTAAAATCCCATTTTCCTATTGACATGCAAAGCCATTTTTCCTTTTTTGTTGATAATCCATTGGCTGTAGCACTAATATTCTATCTACATGTGTCTCTGCATCTCCCAGCTTCAATTTGAAGTTAATGAGCTACTTTTAGTGTATATTTATGTATCTTAACAGAGCTCTTATATATACATACATATGTTCATACATATGTGTATACACACATGCGCACAGCTCCTGAACCCTTTCCAGATCTTCCAGTTGTTTTGAAGCCTAGCCCACCTCCACCCGCCTGCAGATGGGTGCCTGCCTGCTCAATGCATTGCTCGTCTGTGTTTGCAGGTCAGAGTTGCCTTGGACAACCTGTTGGAGGAGCAAGCAGAGTTGACAGACCTCGGCGACAGTGTGATGCGTGTGCAACACCTGCTTCAGGAACAGAAGAAGCTGGAGAGAAAAGGCCAGGTGTGTCCTTTTTTGACATTGTCAAGCACTGCTCAGGAAATAGTGGACCTTGGCAAGCCATGCCCACTTGTTACTGTTGGCAGGAGCCCATCCTTCCCTCCCAGCCACTGCCCACTGCCACCCCAGACCACACACAAAGAACCGTAATGAGCAACACTGCCAGTGCAGGGCTCTGGGAAGGCAGCTGGAGCCCATGGTTGTGGCAGTAAGAGCAGCCAAGAAGGTCAGCTACGTGTCTGAGTCTCAGAGAATCACCTCAGAACTCTTCCCTGAGGCCCATATGCGGGGCTGAGGTGGTGGTAAGGAGGGAAAAACAAAAGAGCAAACTGGTTTTATTAATGGAGCATGACTGTGAGAAAGCGGTCTCTATCTGACCAGGTGCATCTGACCAGGTGCATCGACCAGGTGCATCTGACCAGGTCATCAACCAGCGTGCTGCTGCTGCACAGAACAGGCCAAGCTTCACTTTCTCCCCTGCCCCAGATCTGTCAATGTCCAACGTCTGAAGGAATGTGGGTTTCATGATTCTCAGACCCGCCGGAAGCCGTCCCCAGGCTCTACACACAAGTCAGGACGTAGGAGTGATTCTATTTGGGATCCTTACAGATTAAGACAGTTGAATGATCTTGTGGCAAAGACATTTCTCGGTGCCTCTCTCATGCGATTCTCTATACATTTGTCTTTTGATGGCCAAGTCCGCTGTGGTCAGCACTTCACAAAGGGCCCATCTCGACGTCTGTCCCCAGTGCTGGAGATTTACTTCTCCACCGACCCTCTGGCCAGCAGTGGCGATATCACTCACTTCTTAGAAATGCAGAATTCAGAACCCCACTTCAGAAATGGCATTTAGAAAAAAAACCTATATGTCTATATATCTATATATAGTTTTATTGAGCTATCATTATCATGCTGTGCAATGCCATCGTTCAGTCATATTCAGGAGGGTGGTACATTCATCACCACAATCAACTTGGGGACATTCTTTTCATTCTTAGACCTCTTGCTGTTGACTCCCCATCTCCCGCTCGCCTTCCTTTCCATACCCCTAGGTAGTTATTAATCCACTTGCTGTCTTCATAGACCCGCCCAGGCTGACTGCCCGGTACAGACAAAAAACAAGGGATCCAGCAGCAATGGCCAAATAAAACAGAGAAGAACCTCCGTCAGAAAGAAAGCAGGAAATATTTAATGACCAGAATAAAGTCAAGATGGTCGAACAGGAGAGCTAATAACAAAGCATTATGTTCCAGCCAAACTCGAGCCGTTGAAATCCACTGCATGATGCTTTATGTCTGACCTGAAGGCTACCCCCAGTCCTAGACCAGGGTTAGTGGGGATTCACTACGACTCAATCCAGGTAGAAACCCCGCACGTGGATTTGGGGCTTCCACTGTCATCTGTAATGTTACACAAACTGGGTGTTTAGAATTTCGGCTCCGATATTGTTCCCTTCTCTGTTTGGATTATATTATATTACTTACAAGCTGTGAGTAGAGTTTGAGCTCTCACCTGACTGTAACCATGATGTAAGAGCAATCCATTCTGGTGACGTGGCCCTGCTTGGTCCGCACCCTCGTGAGGCCATCCCTGAAGATACAGGTGCTGTAGCAAAGTGCTGTAGCAAAGTGTGGCGAAGAAATCAGATGGTGCCCAGCTATTAGAAAAAATCGCATCTGGGGTCTTAAAAGGTTTGTCTCCAAATAAGAATCCGCATTTTAATTAAAGCCCCCTGGACTTTGATGAAGGAGTCTAAATGGCACAGGTGGTTTGCAGTCAACCACGAGCCCAAAAGTTAGCAGTTCGAACCCAGCCAGCCACCCTACTGAAGACAGAGCCAGTGAACTGCTTCCGTAAAGATTACAGCCGAGAAAACCCGATGGAGCGGTGCTACCCGGTGACACCCGCGGTTGTCACGAGTCGGGGTGGCCTCCACACCAGCTAACAGCAATAGCAGCCAGGTGCTCGGCCTTGCAGGGAGCAACACACCCTCCCAACGGTCCCTGAGGCCCCACCAACCCCCAGAGCTGCCCGTCCTGGGTTTGGAGCTTGAAGCGCTACTTACCCTTGTGAACACAGGAGCTCACCTCTGTCGACACTCACGCAGGTGTCCCAGCCTTCCCAAGTGAGGTGCCCTTTCTGTTAACAATGACAGGGGCCACCGACAGGGAAACACTTCAGTGCTAAAGGCCCACGAGTCATCAGAAACATTGCTCAAGCCAGAGAAACACTGAATCTCATATCTGCGGTGACTGTAGGTCCCAAATCCTCCAGGACAATCGCAACAGTATGTCATTCTCATGCTTTCAATTGGACTTGCCTCCTGAGCCATAGCTACTATGTCATGTGATATATTTTCAGCTACATAAACTCATGTGTTAGGGGGAGAGTACCTCATGCCTCACTTTATGGCTTGAAAAACATGATCCTAGCGGGGACAGGGCATGCATGACCGTGGCTGCTGCCTTACCCGGAAGGTGTTCCTTCGTCCGTAAGTATTCCTTCTCTGGGTTCTGTGATGATGGTGGTGAGCCAGGCTGGTCAGACCCTGCCCTCCCAGGACATGCAAAAGAAAGAGAGAGGGTCAAAGCGTAATCAATCAAACACATAAGGACAGTGACAGGGAGGAAGAAAATAAAAGGAATATGGTAGACAGTGACACAGGAGATGGCCCTGTTTCAGCGAGGGGTGGTCAGGGAAGGCCTCCCTGAGGCAAAGAATGATGTTAGATCTGTGGTCTGAGGAGCCATGTGCAGATTCGGGGAAGAGCAGAGGGAGCCACAAGTGCAAAGGTCATGAGGTGGGAAATGAGGTTGGTGGCTCAAGGAATGTGGCTGGAACGTGTGAGCCGGGAAGAGAGGACGAGGGAGAAGTGAGTGGAGCCTTGAGTCTCTCTGGTGGATTACTTCGATTTTCTTCTTTGTTGTAAGGGAAGTCCATTGAGGGTGCTCTGGGTGTGTTTTGAACAGTGGTGACGGATCTACATGACTGCGTCCACATTCTTTCTCTGCCCACACTGCTCCCCCCACCCCTTGGACTCGGGATCCTTGCTACATACTTTAGAGTTCTGGTCCGAGATAGGGTGAAGCCTATGGTCATGGGCATTGGACTAGAAAGGTCTGTGAACCAAGCTTCTGACGGGTGCATTCCAGTTTGAGCCCCAGCTGAGAAATTGCATTTCCGCCCCAGATATACTGAATCAGAATCCCCTGTCTTATCAAGACTCCTAGGTGGTTCTCACAGAGATCCATGCAATGCACATTCTGATTCAGTGTCGCCGGCGGTGGAAATGCAATTTCTCAGCTGGGGCTCAAACCCGAATGGACCGGTTTGAGGACCTGCTGTGAACTTTAGACCTAGCTTGCGTAGGCCGAGTTCTTGAGCCTGCCGTTCTAACCCGCTGCACATGACCCTTGGAACTCACACAGACTGACTGGACCCATTGTTTTTATTACTGACTTTTATTTACTGTTGCTTACCCTGCTTTTTGACTGCTGTCTAAAGGATACGAGTGACCTATTCCTTTGCTGTCGGTTAAGCCAAGAAGAGCTGTCCTACCATCAGGGGGACCTTTTCCAATAGGTCTTCTCTCAGATTCCCTGTCGTCTTTTGCTGGTATGGACTTGGCGAGTGTTCAAGGAAAGAGGTGGGACTACATGTGTCCAGAATCCCTCAGATACCTGCACGGGGGTTCCCTCACCCTTTCCTCAGCACTCGGGGGTCACCTGCCCTCCTGGGAGAGCCACATCCTGATTTCTGGGTCGTAAGCCAACTTCCTGGTGCAGTAATCAATCACGCTTATGATAATCTCTGGGCTAACACACTCACCAGACTCGGGACACATGCTAATGCCACCTGTCAGCTGTCTTGTTCAAGTTTCAGGGTTTGGCAAGACTTTTGAATTCTGAGAAGCAGTGGTTTCACCCACCCTCTTATCTCTGGAGAGGCAGCATTTCTTGCAGGGCAGTGTTCTCCACCTTCCTAATGCCTTGGTCTTTTCATACAGTTCCTCCTGTTGTGGTGATCGCCAAGCATAACATGATTTTTGTTGCTACTTCATCACTGTCATTTTTCTACTGTGATGAATTGTCATGTAAATATCTGATAGGCAGGATGTATTTTCACTGTTACAAATTGAACATCATGAAGGCATAGTGATTCATCACAAAAACAATATGGAATTATAGTGAAATGTTTCTTTCTTTTTTTTTTTTTAAACATTTTATTAGGGGCTCATACAACTCCCATCACAATCCATACACACATCAATTGTGTAAAGCGCATTTATACTTCATTCTCAAAACAATTTCCCTCCACTTAAACCCCCGACATTAGGTCCTCATTTTCCCCCTCCCTCCCCGCTCCCCCCTCCTTCATGGGCCCTTGATAGTTTATAAATTGTTATTTTGTCATATCTTGCCCTGTCCGACGTCTCCCCTCACCCCCCTCTAAAATGTTTATTTCTAATGACAGATACATGAAAGTTTGTCTGGAAGCATGGTGCAGCATGGGTAACAGTCCATGTCAGGTACTCATGTGAGCGTATCTGCATGTGGGCAGACCGCCGAGACGGATAGAGGAGCGGTGTCTAGGTTCCTAAGACCATCAGAGATATGTGTTTTCTGATGGTGTTAGGCGACCCCTGTGAAAGGGTCACTGGACCCCCAAAGGGGTCATGACCCACAGGTTGAGAACTGCTGCTGTAGGGGTTTGATTGAGAGGCGTGTTGAGACTTAGGTGATTAGGCAGCAGGAAATATACACGAACCCGGCAGGAGCAACCAGCTTGATTTGAGCCTTGCCCTCTCCCCTGAAAGCGGGTGGCCGTTACCCTGTGGTGTCTTAGGGACTAGAAGCTAGCTTGGCACGTGACTTCTTTCCCTTTTTAATTAAACAGAGATTCTCAACTGTACACAGTGAACTCTCGCGTGTCACAGGCATTGATTCTGCTATCGCGTTTCCCCTGGACTACCTCCTCATGCTTCCGTAGCGTTCCTGGGCCCT